ACCTCAACACACACTCTGGGGTCACCAAGCCTTGGCTTTTGCCAACCTGCGCCTAATACTTTCTGGAATTAGGTAAGCAGGATGTGTCCCTCCAGGGAGAGAGTGTGCATTCCATTCCAACAAGCTATCTCTGGGATTTCCACGTGTAGTGGGATACATGGAAATCTCAGTTCGGTTTGGATACTCTTAAGAGTGGTGATGGGTTTCTGCATGTGTCAGACACCTGGCTGACCAAAAAAAAAGAGAAGGGAATTTCTCCTTGTATCCCAGTGAACGTTAAATAAATTGGCTATTCATGGCTGTTGGTGGGGCATTGGTGTGCACATAGTGGGTGACCTTGTTTGCCTACAAATACACAGTCATTACACTCGACAGCAATTACCGTTGAATCTCCTTGAAGTGTTTGACATTATAAGCACTAAATAAAAGACAAGGATTATTTAAGTGGCCACAGATAAAGAATTGGAGTAAGAGTCACCCATACAATACTAGCAGCATAACTGTTAACAAGCTTATATAAATAACTCCTTTGGGTTCAGTTATAAGCAACTTGTTAAAGATTATAGAGGTGAAAGATCATACTTTCAATGCACAGAACATCATTAATTCCCAGCAATAACCTAATAATAACCTCTAATAAAAAATGGGAATAGTTTCAGGCAAAGGACTTTTAAATTAATTAATATTATTATGGTCTTCAGTTGCTTCAGTTAAAAGGTAATGGGCACTCATGAGGAATATCTGCTATTTTAAAACAATGTGCTAAAATGGGTTATGAGGCAGACTTTGATTCCCGTGCTGAAAATAGTGACCTGTGTGATGTGTTAATTATCACTGGTGTTAATTATCTCATTGTTGATTAAAGCATTCATTGAGGCAGTCGATAACTAAAGACTGTCGAAGGGTGTGACACTTACCCTCGAGTTTGTCACAGAAGTTTAGCCTGTATTGCACCTGCAACTCCCAGATCATTACATTGTTGGAGTTGCCATTCTTTGGATGAGATGTTGCACCGAGGCCTTATCTGCCTGTTCAGATGATCATTTAAAGAACCCTTGTCACTATTTGGAAAGAGAAGAGAGTTTTTCCCAATGTTCTGACCAACATTCCTCCAGATAAATTGGTTATTCTCCTCCTGGCTGTTTGTGGACTTTGCTGTGTACAAACTGACTTCTGCGTTCACTACAGTTACAGAGTCACTACGCTTAAGACAGTGGATCCTCCTTAGTTCCATTGTAAAGCCCAGCCTGCCTGAAAAAATCAGTCCCTGAATATCCAGTCTGAGTCCTTAAATGGGGAAAGGGTCGGTCAGACAATCATGAAGGTGCCAACCCATGAAATCCACTTTTGATAGGGAAAATCTATGGAAGACCCTTCCACAACAAGATGGGATCTCACGGATACGAAATCTGCCTGATTTAGCCTCTCTCTCAGCAAAGTTTCCACCCAAATAAAAATGAATTAAGCTCATTGACAAAGGGGCAACATTGTTTTATTCCGAAACACATTGAGTTAACTATCCCTGGCCACAATAAAGAACAAAATGTCTTAAACAATAATTAAGAATATTATCCCCCCAAATATATGACTGCTTTTCCAAAGACATTAGGATCATGACATTCTTCCAGCTTTGTCTTCTCAACTTTCTTCTAACAGGTGAGGTTCTACAGTTCCTTCTTACTCTTTAGTATTTCACTAATTTGGAGCATTGTCAGAGCCCAACCTTAGCCCTTAATTCTGCTCCAGATATTACCTTAAGGAGCTAACATAAGACTTTCTGGTCTACATGATACAGCTCAGTGTCAGCATCAGTATCACTGGATACACTTGCTGAGCCATTGGGGGGAGCTCGAAGCTGTGTTTTCTATTCTTGGCTGTGTACTGTATTACTATATTACATCAAGGAAAAAATCCACTAATCGTAGTAATTCAAAATGAAATAGCAGCCACTAAATTCAGGATTGCGGGAGGGATACAAATCGGCCCTGGGCACTATATTCAACACAGAAACTGTGGGAGCACAACCGATCTAACTCTGAAACATACATCAATTTATACATACATTTAGCCAAATCAATACACATAGGCAATATAACCTGTGAAGCTCAGAAGTGAGTCAATAGAACTGACACAAGTACAAGAGGTGAACAAATATAAAAATATGGTTTCTTGTGGAAGGAAAATACAAATTGTAAGGATTCTTATCCCTTCTCCCTTAAAAGCATGCACAGAGAAATAAAAATGGGATACTCCTTGTGCAACCATTAATGTATTATTCAACCCCACAAATATTATGGGTATTTGTGAAAAGTCTATTGGACGTTACTCTATAAGTGCTTTGCCCTAAAGCTCGGTTTGTGCTGAGTGCACAGTGCACTCAGTAAGTATTTCCAGCACGACAGAGCAGTCAGCACTGTCATCCTTGTTCTCCAGGCTAGATTGAAAGACAGCTCAAAATAACATGCCTGTTTGTCTCAACCTAACCCTTTTTTTTTCTTTCACTTTCTTTTCTTAAAAGAACGTAAAGCTTGAGGATGAGATAGAATTTTTAAAAAATGACAGGCTTGTCAGACCTATTTGGCCTTCACCTGCTCACCAGAAACAGATAAGCAGAGTGTCTCCCTCCAGGGAGAGAGTGCACATCCCATTTCAGACAAGAGAAATTTCTACATGTAGGTGGCATACGTGGAACTCTCAGTCTGGTGTCGATACTCTTATGCACGGTGATGGGTTTCTGCATGTGTCGGACACCCAGGGTGACATAACAAATCACGTGATAATTTGTATACTATTGCATACAAATGCGGTGAGACAATTATTAACTAAAGATCCCAACATGGGCATGAACTCTCCTGACTCAATGACAATGGATGGGCTCAAGTGGATCTCCAGGCTGGAGAGTGCAGACAGCAGGAATTTAGACCCCCTAGTTATTGAAATCTCCCAAAAGATTAATACGAACGTTTATTTTGCTTTTCCACAAGCAAAAATAAAGTAACAGAATACACCAGAGCATAGACGGGTGACTCTTCATTCTTTGGTACATTTACCAGCCTTAGCAGCAACAGATTCACAATGGTGAGGTCGCTAAACTTAACAACCAGACAACAATCTCCTTTGTGCATTCTGCCAGACCATCACGAGGAATGTATCTTGTAGAAACTATTCACAATGCTGCTATCACACAGGTTGGAACAAATCAGTACATGTTGGAAACAATGCAGCACACAATATAATAATGTGTTTTGTTCCGCTGGTTCCTTGTATATTGATTGACATAAGCTTATTTTCAGCTAAACCACATCCCCGGTATCTCTCGTAATGCAAAAGAATATTGAATTTTCTTATTTGAGTTGCTTAGATCTGTGCTGGCCTAGTGCCAGCTTTAAATTTAGCTCAAAGCTACACAGTTAAGACGAACAACAATGCACAAAAAACACAGATTCACAGATTATTCCGACTTATTTGTGAGAGAGAACAGGGCAGATGTAAAAGCCAGTTCTAAAAATATTGTGTGTATTGTATGCCCCCAGGAGCTCCCCTCGAGCATTGGTGACCAGCTCCACAGAAACTGACGAAGATGTGCAGCACAGAATACACAGCAGCTAATTATTTTGCAACAATCTGACAAGCTGATGTAACCGTGGACCTGAGATGCTTTTCTACTGTCACATTCCTCAGGAGGGGCACAGTTGCAATTTGCACTGCAAACATTTGTCAACAAGAAGGTGTCTTTTTTTCCCCTGAAATGTGAAACGGCACCCTGATAATTCACAAATGCAATTTAACAATAGCCGTGGCACAAAGATATCCTTGTTTCAGACAGATATTTCAACGCTGGGTCAAGCTGTGTTAAAATGAAGTATCGTTCACTGAATAAACATGTGCAGTTGAGGAGAAAGGAACTCAGTCACTAAAAGGTTGGGCATTTTTTTCACACATCTAATTTTCATAAATTTTATGTGTAAAATCAAAATTCAAGACAAGATGTGCCATTTCACACAGAATTTAACTACCTGGTAGAGAAATCTGAATTTCAATTTCAAGGGTAATCAGAGAAAGAATCTTATTACCAGTTCTCTGCTAATTACAAACATGTCAATGGGAACCTGTGCTGTCTTGACAAGTCTTCTGGATTAATAAGGGTCAATAGTACCATGACAACGGACCACTTGGGTCTTATTAACAACCAGAGTTTCTGTAAATTGAAAAAAAACTTGGAGTTGTGTGGTTTCATACCTTGTCCTACTTACACTTTATTTTCTGCAGTAAACATTTATTTAAAAAAGAAGGCAGGCACATTATGGCAGAGAACAAGCTCGGGTTAGGCCACATTGGTCGACAAGGAATGGAAGCAGCAAGAGATCCAGTATTTGTCACCAACATAACATTGTAGCAAAATGTTCACTCCAATATAAATTCCTCAATGTGCATCTTAGTATTTACATTCCTTTGAGTAGTGTGCAGCTAGCAAATCAATGCATCATAATCCAGATAAGTAGACAGACATTCAGAAACCCAAGAAAAGGATTGCTGTTAAAAGGCAATGTAGTGCCAATGCTCCATTGTTGCCAACTGATCTTTCTGCTGTGGCAATAGTTAATCCAGCGTACTATAAAGTCGCTGTGAATCGCAGTAGTGACATCTAGCAGTAGAAATATATCGGGATATTCGGGGAGAAAATACAGTAGAGTAGACCCACCTGGACTTAGATTTAATGTATTTATGTAACATTTCGGAACGTCCTTAATTGGACAAATTCTCAAATTCAGCATTAATTTTGAAGCTGGTTTGCTGTAAGTTCTTAAGAAATTACAAAAAAATTGCTTCAAAGATAAGACTGAATTCAACAGTTTGCTAAATAGTGGACATTCTAAAATGCCTCATGAATACAAATGTAGTTTCTTCCCAATTACACAGAGACCAAAGAGTTAAATCTTCAGGAAAAATGATCCACAGAATGTCTGAAGGCCTTTCAACACCCTAGTTTTCCCCCATACCTTTTTCTTATTTGCAGGACAGATGTAGAAGTTGGTGATGATGTTAGGGATGCCTGGTTGTAGGTTCAGTTTGACATAAGTGGTTCCATAATCCGAGGACCTGGAAAGACAAAGGGAGAGAATAAAACGGTTAACAGTGGCATTATAGTGGTCGAGAATCTGAAAGTTTTCTGCTGCAACTCAAGTCATTGCCAGAATCAGATATTCAAACACAAAGAACAAATGGCAAAACGTTTGAAAACTAATAAATTGTGCTATCTGGCAAGTCAGGGGAGACCAACGTGAACCTCTGCCAGGATGTTCAAAATACACGAAATGAAACATTAATTGAAGAGTTCTGATAAAAGGTCAATGACCTGAAACTGTCCTCTCTCCATAGATGCTACCTGACCTGCTGAGTGTTCCCGGCGACTTCTGTTTTGTTTCAGATTTTCAGCATCTGCAGTATTTTGCCTTTTGTTCAAAATACATAATCACTATACTTTATAGTAAATCTTGTGAAGTGGTTTTACATGTCCTCCCAACAAGAAAGGCGCTACACTAAATGTAATTAATATTTTGACTGCCTTTTACAAGTACACGTCCGTCCCGTAGTGATCAGGTTTTCTGACCGTTACCATTTTGTTGGGATGTTAGGATGAGGAATGCCCTGTCGGGAGTGGTAATTGAGGCAGGATCCATAATAGCTTTCAAGAGGAAAATAGAAATCTGAAAAGGCAGGTAAATACAGCTAAATGAATTGTTCCCTGAAAGAGCCAACAAGGACACGATGGGCCGAATGGCTTTCTTCTATGTTCTGAAGTTCTATGGTTCTATATCTGCACTTGTGATGGTTGTGTTGTACCTAAACCCACGGTAAATAAAATGAGAACCAGATTGCTTGTAAGCACTGCAGGAGCCTACCCTACATGAAGGGCGCTATATAAATGCAAGTTGTTGTTGCTTGTGCAATCCTTTTCAAGTTATAATTTCAGTTGCCTTGAGAGATAGTCTACCTGAACTACTGGTAATCTGAATAAGAGAGAAGCAGCATTGAGGAAATCTCTGAACCAAAGGGCTTGGCACAAAGTCAGGCAACAGCTGTCAGAGCCTGATAAAAAGTTACTGTCAAGCCATTAATTAGCACCTCCATTTACACTTGAGCTGCTATTCTGCTTTTGTTTTACAAATTTCCAGTTGCTCGCTATGTGGTCAAGTCTAAATGCAAAGGGATTATTTACTCCCATTGTTAATTAGAGGCAGGAGGAAAGAGCTTGACTGGGCTACAAATCTGGGAAAGTTGCAGGAAGCTGGTAGAAACAGCTGGTGCCAACTTGCTGACATTTGCAGCAGGAGAGAAAACCACAGTTTGCAGGGTTATCCTGCCCCACACTTTCTGTGAACTATTTGTTAAAGCAAGTGTTTTGAGAGTTTGTGTTACATGAATGGCGCTATATGTACATATGCAAGTTGTTTTGGTTGTGTTGATTTGAGCTAAGAGCTATAAATATCACTGGAGCTATTTATAAACGCTTGAGAACAAATTGGCGAAGCTTATTATTCTTTCATTGTTCATCTTACTGCCTGAAGAGCAAACTAAATTGCAGTACAAAGACGTGCTTCAGAGCAGCTTCTAGTTATCCAACCACAATGACACAGGTCTGGGAGAAGATGGGTGAGCTTTCTGCCACTTTGTGCCAACTCTCCGAAACTCTCTCTCTAAATCCCTCCAACTCCCTCTTTCCCTCCCTGCTTTCAAAAGCTGTCTTAAAAATCTATCTTTTTCATTTAATCTTTGGTCACCTCCTGCCCAGCATGGGCTCCCACTCAGACTCTGCAAAGTGTTTTAAGTTATTTTCCTAGATCACAAGATTGGACGACCCTTCAGCCCATTTAGTCCCTTCCCTCCAGACGCCACTGTACCATCCTCCCATTACTGCATCATGTTGCTTTTTAAGTGTCCTGGCCTCTACCACCTTTCTTGGCAGCCATTTCCAGTCACTGATACCCTCTGCGTAAAGAAACATTTTTTAGGAGCTGTCCTGAAATTGTCCTTTGCAACTCTAAACCAATCTCCTCTTGTTCTAGTGTTTTGATGAACCTTAAAGTTGTACTTTTACTTTTCGCTTTCCTTTTTGAATCCTATTTAAAATGTTATACATCCCAACGAGCTCCCATCTGAGTCGTATTCTTTCAAAAATGAAGAGCCCCAGCTTGTCTCGTCGTTGCTCATAGCTCATGCCTCTAACACTGTTTATGATCTTTCTTGCTCTCCTCTGCACTGCCTCTAAGGTCTGGGCAGCCTCCTTATGTTGCGGTGACCAGAATGGGTTAAATGTGCAAATTACAGTTTGCAGTTGGCAATGTTATAAATTGTTTGATTTCCGATCTTTGTAAAAAGGATAATTGCCAACCCCAAAATCCAGTAAAGTCAAGTCTAAGAAAAGGCCAGAAAACAAATTGACCTTTATTCAGACTTTGCTGTCTTTTGGCAATCGCCACTTGTGTTTTTGGATATCTGGCAAAAAAAACACCTTTTCATATTCACAAGCCACGAGTCTCGATTAGAACAACTCTTCCAGGTTACAAATCACACCAATCAGACCCAATGCAGCATTTTAGCTTCCAAAAAAGACGGTGGTTCTGTAAACAGAATCCACAAAGCATTCAATAATAATAAACCTTGCACTTGATATAATGTTTTTTACGTCTTCTAGACGTCTCAAAGCACTTCACAGAATATACTGTAAAGTGAATTGACTATATTTGTGGGCGAAATGCGGCAGCCAATTGCGCACAGCAGTGTCCCACAAACAGTCGTGGATTGAGTGACCAAATTATTTTTTTTTGAAGGATTATTTATCCCTGCAAAAGCGATCCACCAATTGACTAACAACCAGTTTGCTACTTACTGCTAGGTAGACAGAGGCGTGTGGATTCTGTTTAAGGAAGGGTGCCCAACATTTCGCCCTACCGGGAATCAAACCCAGGTCTCTCTCTTGCGAGGCGAGCGCTCTAACCACTGAGCTACAGGAGTCTACTGAGTTTAAGCTCAATGTCCAGTGAATTCAAATCCTTTTTCCAGGTCTTCCTCCACTCCAGAATATACTTGGTATTCATTAGTCCCGTGTTGCAAATCCTACATGACCTATCTCCTCTGTAACACAGCCTAAGCGCACTACACGCCATCTGGAGTCTGCAGGCAAAAGATCCCTCAGAGGGGTGGAAGCATTGTCCAGACATACAATTGTGTTGATCTCCGGAAAGGAGTTGTATTTTTATCATGTCATACCTCTGAGAGCAGAAGAATTGTGCCAATGCATGGAAGAACAATTTAAACAGAACTGAGGACTTTGCTGAATAATGCAGATTGTGCACTGAAACGCTGCACTTGTAAGTCCCTCCAGATAACATTGGTTATTTGCTTTATGGCTGTTTGAAAATTCTGCATAGTCAACTCCATTGTTCCCAGGGTCAGGAATTAGGTTTTCACCCTGGCTCAGTTGGCAGCATTCTTGCCTGTGATCTGGAAGGTTGTGGTTCAAGCCCCACTTTGGGGCTTTGAAATCACTTGGTCTAGGCTGACACCCCAATGCATTGTTGCAGGTGCCATCCTTTTCCAAATCCCTGACTATCCCAACTTGAAAGGCGCTATACAAGTGTAATTTGTATCGTATTAAACTGAGGTACATAGTACTTTTTTTGCCAGGGGGATGTCTCATGGGGCTTCACAAAGCGATATGGGCACTACTCGAAAAAAGAAGGGAATTTCTTCCAGTTTCTTGGTAAACTAGTCATTCACTTCATGGCTGTTTGTGGGACACTACTGGGTTAAATTATCTGCCTAAAAATACACAGCCACTACACTTTACAGTATAGTATATCCTATTAAGCACTTTCAGACGTTCTTCTGATGTGAAAGTTACTATATCAAATGTGAGGATTATTACTATATTATATTAATAGTAATAAGCAGGCTCATTTTCTGGAGAAGCCTGCTCCAAATGCCCTATTCGGACAATGTGATTGTATCTGTTGGTTATCAGGGAAACGCTGCTTGAGAAATCTCATTCTAAGTCACATTATAAAAGTGATTTAATATTAATAATAACCTTGCATTTGATATAGCGCCTTGTCACGTCATTGAGACTTCTCAAAGAACTTCACAGAATATATATTGTAAGTCGTCTCAAAGCGTTTCACAGCATTTATTGTAAAGTGGATGGAATTCATATTTCATGGGCGAAATGCGGCAGTTAATTGTGCACAGTATTGGCCCACAAACAGTCATGGATTGAGTGAAAAATAAACTTTTTTTCTGGAGGGATTATTATCCCCAGAAAGCGATTCGCCAATCAACTATCAACCAGGTTCCAACTTACTGCTAAGTAAACAGAGCATGTGGAGGAAGGAATTTTGCTGAAGGTTTCACCCTGCCCGGAAATTGAACCCGGGTCCTCTTGCTTGCAAGGCAAGTGTATTAACGACTACATTACGAGACTCCATATATTGAAGGAAATTAGCTTAATTTATTGTGAAACGGGGAATCACTGTCCCCCGTCCAAAGTTTCCAGTTTAAATATTTATTGAAACAAGAAAATCAAAATCACGTGCATATTTCTGTCTTGATGATGTCATTGGACTACCATTGGATTGTTGCATAACCCCCTCCCCCCCACTCACAATTTTGTGAAAAACAAAACTGGAGGTTGCATTTTTACAGCGCCTTTTCAAGCTGAAAGCATTCAAAGGACTTTACAGTAATTATGACTGGACAATGTGGTGCGACTTTTTGTGGATAGCAAAGTCCCACCAACAACCATAAGACAATAAATCTAGGTTCTTGTAGACATTCCCTTCTCTTCTGAATAGTGTTGTGGCCTCTTTAAGACCCACCTGAGATTAGATGGCATACGCTTTCACAACAGATACTAATTGACAGTGGTTCATGGGGCTCAGATTCAGGACATTGCATCCCAATGAATGTCCCGATGATTAGTGTAAACCGGGTAGAGATTTTATGAAATTTCAGAATCTGGAAATCTGTTGAATGCCATTCTAACTCTATCTCTTTTCAGAGCAGGTTTTCTTTGAATCCGAAGGAAATGGAAGGGGCCATTC